GCGACAGCCGAGATGAAAAGCTTGAAGCGGTATGAGTTAGGAGTACGCTCGAAGTTAGGAGCTTGAGCCACGGCCCTGGAGACAGCCACTGACCCCTGGTTTTCCCACAATATTGTGCCGCGCGCGGTGGCCAGGGTTCGGCGTGGCGACCTCGAATGGGACTCCCTACCGTCTCTGAAACTGAAGCACTTACGCGTGTTTGCTGACTGGTTCGCCATTGAGCAGCCATTCTACAGTCGGTTCTGGATATCCTTCAACGGTTGATGTGTACTTGACGGTGTCACCTGAATTTTTTGGGAGAATCAGTTGTAAGAGGTTCAAATGATCAAAAACTTCCAAAACCCTGACCCAGCTATAGCAAGAAATGAGAATAAAAATTCAGGTACGGGTGGATTTTCTCTGAATGGGAAAGTCCATGGTGATTATATGGGAGGAAATACGGAGCCATGAACACCGTTCTTACACAGTGCTACCCTACACTTCGTCATGCCTAAGAGTATTTCGAGGCGCATTGTAAGTAAAGCGCGATGGCGCTTCATCTCCGCCCATATGGTCAGTGTAGACTGCACCTTCCAGACCACGAAACTGTTTTCAAAATAATCCAAACCTTCTTTAACTTGACGATCGTCCAAGTTGCTCGTGAACTTCGGCACTTCTGCTCTTCGGTCAACCTGAACGCCAAGATATCACGGCTGGCTCGATGAATCTCTCCATATTGAGTGAAGACCCCGAGTACTGACCTTCAGCGTAGCTTTAGCCTCTGCACTTCCAGCGCTATTCTCAGCAGTTACTCGAACCGTACCGCTTTGTGAGATTTGAGGCTTGTAGATACGTATTGACGTCTTTCCAGTCTCTTCCTCGAATTTCACCTTGATTTCTTCGCTGCTTTCTATCTTCTTGTCGTTGAGATACCATGTGATCTGGAATGATAAGCTGATAACGTTCTCGCAAATCCTTCCATAGCGTTTTCGAAGCTTTGGGAGCAGTGTACGTCGACGATATGGGCGGAGTCAGGCCTACACGGGCTTCGATTGTTGGCGCGCACCTCATTCTACGGAGGCGCGCGCAAATTGATGGGTGACTCCGCCCACACGGTCAGCGTGGACTGTCACTTCAGCATCAGATCCTTGAGCTCTGCTCGTGAGCAATCCCCAAGGGAACATAAATACTATCACGAATGGATACATAAGGACAATCGTATCACCTTAGGAGTGGGCACTCCGGTCACTATAGCGCTAAACTTCACGCTATCCTCATCGGTGTACACGTCGTGATTTTGAGGTGTCTTAGTGAATTCGGGCTTGTTTGTTCCTTTTTCAACGACGATCTGAATAAAGACGCGAAATTGAAACAATTACTTACTTACTAAGCCGGCGAAGACAAAAGCCGGTCAAGAGGTCCCGATTACGGCGACGCGACGTTTTAAATGATGTCGCGCACGCGATCGAAGCACCATGCAGGCAAGAAGGACAAGGCGTCAAGCCATCGCGCTCCTGATGACCTATTGCACCGGCGTCGCAACGTGGATCTCCTGACCGACATCCAACAATAGATCATACCTTCCCGGAGCATTCACATGCTCCCACTGGATTAACGGCCTTTACGATTACGCGTCACGCTTGATCTTCCTGATAATGTTCGATAGGTGAGTGAGTGAGTGACCGTTTTCCATATCGGTGGCTGAATTCTTCATGTTAGGCTTCAAGAAGAAAAATCAAATATTCACACAATTTAAAATAAAAGTAAAATAAAATAGTGATAGAACAATTGAAATAATGCGCAGTTTGTTTGGTGGGGGTACCGAAATGGACTGGGAGGACCGGACTGTTAAGGATACATTTGGTAAAAATGTAAATTCCTGGTGGATCAAATTGCCGTCACTGCGCTTCAACGGGAAGTTTACAGGTCCTCACCAAGTATGGGCCCATTGTTAAACCCGAACTGAAAGGAACTGCCTGAAGATCGACATGCCCTTCAAGCCAAACAGTCGATATCAAATACTAACTAATGAGAAGATACGACTTTACTTTTATATTTCGGAGAATATTTCTATCAGGACATCACAGTTTTTGAATCAGGCATACTGTCCAAGCTGATCGTGTGGGAGGGCGAGGGCACTGTTTTCTGTCTTCTGTGTCCGTTTTGTAACAGTTAGAAAGTATGACATAGCCATGGAAAGCACAAGGGGGACTTGGCCCCTCCACACACGATTTAGGCCGTAAGACAGTGCATTCAAGAGCTAATGAATCTTACCTTAACATCTGGAGATTCTTGCATTTCCTTGCCGTTGACGTACCACGTGACGGTGGTGTTTGGCTGAGGAGTGTCGAGAGTCACGGAAAGTTGTAACTGCTCGTTCTCCTTGACGTTCTTGTGATGTGAACTTGACTCTTGAATGTTGGTGGGACCAATGCTTGTTCGACCTGGAATTGAACCCTTTTTAACAAAATCATGGTTATAGGAAGGAAGGAACTTTGCCCCAGGGTCCACTTACCCGTAGTTCGGCAGTACTCGTGTCGGTGCCCACAGCGTTTGTCGCTTCAACTTTGACCGTACCGCTGGAACTGGTAGGTAGCTTCGGTGATTCGGAGAGAGTATTCGCTTTCGAATCGGCACGTCTTCACAGTGCTGCTTTCTTCGACCACTTTATCGTTGATTAGCCATTTAACGTCTGGTTCGGGATAACCGTTGACCTTGACCTGAATATTGGCAAAATTATGGTGGTAATTTCATGGTACAGCCTGATTAGAGGCTCCGTTGGGATAAGCCTAGATCCAAGGAATCAACACTTTAATTCAGGTGGCGCAGCCAAAGTTCTAAAGATTTGGCGCTAATGTACGTTGTCTACCTGTCAGGAGATAGATAAGGTGTCATGACGTCACCTAACACGTTAATGACGTGTTTTGAGACGTCATTGACAGTACTGCGGCACTCTTAACAAGTAACGGACCTGCACTACACCTGCGCCAGTGATTTTCCTCTGAATTTTCTTTTACATATACGAAGAGAATGTCTTGAAGGCTCTAAGGGATATTGATGAAACCAATATAAATTAATAATAAATTAAAAATATTAGATAACAAATAATGTTACGGATTAATAGAGGTCTAATGCTAGCTAATAAATACCAGTAGATCTGCGGTTTGCTCTTTTCTCGAACAACTGTCGAGACATGTTACTACGTACTGGGCATAAAAACCTGCAGTTTAAGCCATTGATCCAGCTTTACCTAGAGCTGTTAAACCGCTGAACGATCGATAACCGTACCTTGAATTCGGCGGTTTCCTTCTCCGAGATGGTTACACTCTTCGGTCCTTCGGTAATCTGTGGAGCAGTGGATTTGGGAGTAACCGTAATCTGTGACGATGACTCTACCGTACCAGCTTCGTTGACAGTGACTACGGTAACTGAAACACAGCCGAGTTATCATATCACAATGTGTTGTACCACTGAATGACGAAGGAAAAGCTGATTTCTTGGCGTCTACAATCTCGGAGAAAGAGGGGGGGGGGAAGAATCAGAGGACTACTCGCGAAAAAATGGGATTTTCAAAGGAGATGGGACCTTCGCCTGAGCCCAGGAAAGGATGGAGCGTGCTTCGAGATGGCATCAGCCCAGTTCTCCACAGGGCATCAGCCCAGGTTCTCCACAGGAGTCCTTTCAATGCCCCTCCTCACTCCCACCCTCCACCCCCAAGGTTATTAAAATCTATTTCGATATAGCACTTACGTTTTCCGCTGTGGGACGGTTCGGCTTTGTCGATTGTCAGCGAAGACTTGTCACCATCGGTTGTAAT